CCTGTATAGTCCTAGCAACTAATTTATTAGTTGTACTCCTGTTTGACATTTATGTGTTCTTCAGTGTTGTTATATTTCTATACTAGACGGCTATAGAGAAATTAACCAGATATTAGTGATATAGTGGTTCTTTATTTTTCATGTTCACAGACTCCCAAATCTTCCTGGTCTATGTCCTAATTTTGCTTTTTAATCTGTGGTATCCTTATACGGTATACAAACACAAAAATATGGCTTGTCCACACTGCTGATAGTTAGCATACTACTGCTTGATCTACATTTATTCTCTTTCTCCACCAACGAGAGCCACTTGGTAGTTGGTAAATAGAAGAAAAAAAATGAAAGCCATTCTAGCACTTTTATTTTACATATTCGTTAAGGACCAGTAGAGAAAAGAAAAACATTAATCTGTATTAGCTTCACTCTAGCTTTGCTCTTCATAAGACATTTTGTTACAGAGTTAATCATCCCAAGTACGAACATAATCCATTAAGGGATTTAGAAAATACTAATTAAAATCTCAAACCTAAACCTTGTTCCATATCTTCTATGAATGCGACCTTGATAACAAGGCAAGTGGGTGTCACGTTTGCAAAGAACCAGCGGTAGGGTCGTGTATTAACTATAATATTACTGCTCCTATGTGTTTGATGTTTCTTACGCAAGGTTACCGTGTCCCGCCAGAGGTCCCATAATCTTAAGTTGGGCAAGTGATAGATCCCAGCACTTCACACCTATTTTACAGTTTATGTCAGGATCAAATGAAGCTCGCGGGGGAACGAGGCGTGTTCTTATTAGTCCCCACGTTGACTGACAGCAAGAGGGACATTGTCCACTATGTTTGATTGGATCGGTTCACAGCAGCATCCAATAAGAATTTAGATAGAAAGTGTAATTACAATTTAGATCTGAATTATAACTTTCGTAAGTCGTAAGCAAATAGTTTATCCTAGGAAGATTTTCGAGCGAATAGGGTTACTCCGAGAAAGCTACGCGTAATTCGGCGGTAAAACTTAGAAGCAGATTCTAAGGAAAGACAAAGCTTCGAAAAGGTAAGCAAGTTATTTGCTCAATTTTTGCAGAATATTATGGCATCATAATTGTAATTATTTGTAGTATGTATACTATATTACTTGGATCGTTTAATATGTAAAAATACCTTTGTAGTGTTTCATTTACATGCGTATTTGAAAAATGAGGTTACGTAATACAAATGAGAATTATGTAGATTATTAGCTTGTGGTCAGAATCAATTTTGTAATTCGCTATTAAGTTACTTCGTAGCAAAGAAGAATAAGCGCATTTATTAATGCGTTATGTCAGAAATAATTGTTATTATATGCTCATTTTTTTCTCCGTTAACTTTATATTTGTCAGAATCGTTCAATATCCAGCGATATTGAACACCTTCATATTGCACCCCCACGTGACTGATGCACGTGAATAAAGAACTACTTTCTATAGTAAACAATGGACGCTGCATTGCAATTTTCCCTGTTCTACTTTTTTTGGAAAATGTTTGGATTTAGAGGCCGAGATGAGCACAGAAAATTAAAGTTTGGAGATGTATCAGTTTTCACCGATTCCACCGGTACCCAATATCTTCAATATGCTGAGAGGGATAGCAAAACCTTTGATGGTACGGGGAAAGATGACAGTAGATCAACAATACCTCGCATTTTTTCCAACAGAACATCACCGGAGCGAGACCCTGTTCAACTTTACCAGGAATATTTGAAACGAAGACCCTTGGAAATGATGAATGCCGACAGCCCCTTTTATTTGACACCAATTCCAATGCAGCAACTGACAGAAACTTCCCACATATGGTAATTATATTTCTAAAGATTCAGTTAATGTCCTTATTTAAAGTAAAAAAATAAACAAAGAAAAAGGAGTAACAATTTTTTTAGACAATGCAAAGAATGAATGAAAATAAAATTACATAACATAAAACAAAATATATGGGAAAAATCTGTAATGAATTGTATAATCTGCACATACCAAACCGTTTTCACAATGAAATGCATTAATCAACATCGCCAAATAAAAGAAAACTTTTTTTTTATGGCAGGTGCATTGGATTATTGAATTAAATATAATTTATATTCACGATGCAAATATTAAAAATTGCAGGTATTATTCGAGACCAATGGGGGTTAATCAACTTGTAACTCGGATGAAACGATCAGCCGAAAGGGCACAAATCCAGGGGAGAATTAGCAATCATTCTGTAAGGAAGACTACTGTGACAAACCTGTCAAAAGCTGGGGTCCCTCCAACAAAGATAATGTAAGTGACTGGGCATAAAAATATGTCATCTATAACTGGTAATAGTAATGAGAATAAATCTACTTGCCTTTTTGCCTATTTAATCTCCTCAAAATGTACTTTGTACTTTGTGGACTCTTTCTCCTAATAAGAATTACGTATTTCCAAATACTGTTACACATCTTTGTACTATAATATGTAAGCCTTTAGAATCCAAACTACATTGTTGAAATCGAAATCACATTCCATAGTAGACTGTGCGGAACTCCGCAACAAATGAATATGTTGTTCACAAAAAATAAATAATATTGAAACCAGCATCTTTTTAAGAATTTATGTTTAAAAACTTTCATATTTTTCCAGCTTACGATTCCAAACTATCCATGGCAGAACAGAAACAGTTATGCAGATTGTTGTCATCGCCAATCCCTGAAATCACACGTACATCGTGCGGAAAACACACAGAAGGAGATAATCAGAATTTGGCTGTTTTGACAGAAAAACAAAATCTCTCAATTCCTGACCAGCTGGGAACTTTGTTCAATGGCGCAGTCATTCATAATATGACTTTAAATTTCAATTTCAGATAGACGAAAATGGGATTTCTTTTTTTTAAATGAGTGAGCGCGCGGTACGCTATGAAGTCAAAAAGTCGATGGGCGGAGCTATATGCGCATAAATACTATTATTGTGTATTGAAGGAGAATTTACGATTGTCAACTTATTTATTTTAAAAATAAAATAATAAATTTTATTATTAAATATATTTGGATGTGAATTTTAATATTAAGTCTTTGGCAATGAAACAAAAATGAGCATATAATAAAAAGGCTACTGCATTTGAATGGAAAAATATGAACTCGTTTTTTCGGATGGCTATAAGGTCGTGCAGTATAGCCATCCGAAAAACTCGTTCATATTTTCCCATACAAATGCAGTAACCTATAAATACCGTGCTGTATTATGACGTTGTTTTACCATACAAGAACGTATGTGTATTTCGTTGTGAATGAACGCGTGACCAAAGAAATTTAATAGCCGTTATCTAATAAGAGGGCTAAGGAAAAATATTGTACCGTCCTTGTCTTTTCACAGGAAGCATTTTAGGGGACAACTTCCGGTTCTGTTTAGTTTCCGAGTCTCCAATAGGGAAAACGGAAGTGACACTATCAGAACAGTCGGAGTTGACAAAAGTGTCTAGTCGGTGAAGAGAAGGTGGATAGAAGGTGGAGGAGGAGGAAAGGGAGTCGGGATGAGAAAGTCGGGGAGGAGAAGGAGTATAGAGAAGTAGACCAAGAGCAGAAGGAGTTTGGAGAAAGTCAGGGAGGATGAGGAGAATGGATTGAGAGAAATAGGAGAGAAGAATACCACAGATGAGTAGAATACAAGGACAGTGGGAAATCTATCTCAAACTAATAGTCATCAAGTGATGGAAAAGGCTAATAAAGGGTCGAGTGGAAGGAGTATGCTTGGGAAAGTTGAATCGTTTGACTATTGAATTGTTATTACATTTTTATTCATTGAATTTCAACTTTTTAAAAAATCTATTTAACCATTTAAATTAAGCATCGCTGACTGCGGGCTCCGAGCTGTAGAGCTATCTTTCACTAATTTAACTTCCAAACAAACTCGAGCCTGGGTGAAACTTCTACAATAGTTTAATTATAATATGTAGAGTACTCCACCCCAACCATAACAAACAACCAGTTCTTCACAGTGAGTGACCCAGATAAAACTGACTTTGCCTTATCATACCAAGTATTATCAGAATCCATCATAGGGAATAGCAAATAAAATCACACGAGAAACCTCAAGCCAAACCACGACAAACATGGACGCCGCTGTCGTTGTCGGAAAAATTGACTGCTGTGCCTCACTTTTTTACTTGGTGACACTTCCGGGTAGCTACGAGAATCTGAACATAAAGTAACATGATATACTTCATATATATTTGGATAAGTAACTCATCTGTTTGAAACAAAACTAAAAGTGTCACATAAAGAAAAAATTGCCATGCTTTTATTTAGACGAGAATATTTGGCGATGTAAATCCGATGTAACAATTGTAAAATTTAGTATGGTTACAATTAACTAAAGGACTGACGTATCTTATGCAAACTGTGTCTAAGGGATACGATTCAAGTTTCATACATTTCTGAATGAATATAAGATGAATACAAGTATATAAGATTTGGTTATATAACTTTCAACATAATTTACAAATCATTCTTAATCCTATATGATTCACCTTGCTAAACACCTGACCACATTTCCTCAGAGTGTTGTCAAGTGTCTGTTTGAAAATCTCCTGTAGGTATTAAGAAGGCACTCCTCTCATTTGGAGGGGGGGGAGATACTAAGCAAAAGCTTACACACGTAAGGGGGATGGTGTAGAAAAGTACACCATTCAGCAAGAGCATAGATGATCAGAATTGTATATTCTTTGCGTACGTGCTAAACGGACGGCTCCTTACACGATATACATAGTTCAATTGTGATATACTTTAATTCATTATCTTGTGAAAAGTAATTAATGCTTGCAAGACTGGATCGACTAATAGTATTACTATTCTCATTTGTTGCAATATACTACAGACATCCGACATGCAAAAGTTTGGTATTCACCTAAATCTCTCAAATGAAGCAATTTTTGGGTAATCTGATTTTCTTAAGCAAAAACGTTTACTGCAAGTTTTAATTTACCTCAGGCTCCCTTTCAAATTTTAACCGAGCCGGTGGCTTAGTGGTTAAAGCGTCCGCCTCAGATGCAAAAGGTAGTGGGTTCAATCCTCGGCCTAGTCATAACAAAGACTTACAAAAAAATGATACAAGCAGCTTCCTCGTTTGGCGCTCAGCATTAAGGGGTAGCGTTAGGACTGGTCGGCCTAGTGTCAGGATAATGTGACTGGGTGGGACATGATGCTACATGCCTGCGGCATGATGCCACACTGCAGACATCGCAAAGATGTGACGGAAAATTGTTAAAAGATATGTCAAAAATCCAAATCACACACACACACACACACACACACACACACACATACACCCTTTTGCAAATTTGAATTTGTGCAAATAGCGCAATGGTTTGTTTAAACCCTTTAGGGTTTACCAGAAGCGCTGTTATGCATGTCTTCAGAAGCAGCTAATATAGTGAGGAGCCATAGAGGTTCAGTGGTGGGCGCGCATGACTCGCGAATGAAAGGGTACAGGTTCGAATCCTACCATTTAGTCAGATACATGATCTTTGCTGGAACAAGGCACTACACATCAATACTCTAGACACGAACGTAGCTGTCTTGCAGTGCCGTAGAACACTGCAGATAGTGCAGAATGAGTCTCAATACTAATCGTCAAAACACGAAAGTGAAAACAATGTTTTGTGTAAATATTATGAAAGCGATAAAATGTCAAAGCGATGAATTCTTTTAAGAAAAAGTCTTCATCCCATCCCAAAAGAAAATCCCCCCCCCCAAAGTATAACTCATCAACTTGACCTAAAGCTGCCTGAACTGCGGATGTGTTAAATAAACAATTAAAGTAAAAATGTATACTTGTATATGCTAGAAAGGGGTGGGGTGCATCTATCACAGATTGGAGCGAATGTAAAACATGATGGTAGAATCAATTTATAAATTTGGGATCGTAAAAGCATCATGCACCAAAATGGTCAACGACAACTTTATATGTTAAAGCGTACGTCTTCTTTAGTAGAAATGAACTTTGACCCGCAAAAATATGGTTCGATTTGTTCAGATCAGGAAAGAACTTTAAAGTATCATGGTAACATCAGAATGTTTTCGCATCATATCTGAACAACTTTTACTCATTTTGCCACTTAAAACTTTGCATTTCGAATTAGTTATCAATAATGCCTTATGCAATGATTGTTCGTCTAGTTTACTCGTAACAACTGAAATGGGCCCCGGATGGCCGAGTGGTCGAAGGCGCTAGTCTTTACAGATCACCGAGACGTTAACTCTGTTCGTATGGGTTCGAGTCTCGTGCTCGGCCAGCATAGTGAGAAAGTTGTCAATAGCTTCCAGTCAGTAGGTGGTTCTTCGCAAGGTTTTCCCACACCAGATGTACTAGTTGCCATGTATAGTCTATCATTTGCTGAAAATACAGAGAACCCACAAAAATAACACTTCCGTACCAAATTTAAGCCTCACTGATGGTAAGGACTAAAACTGGAAGTGTATAATTATCAGTTTTTGTTATTGTTAATGTTCTGGGGCTTAACGCCATTTTTCAGCACACGATAGACTATACATGGCGGCCAGTATTAATGGTGGAGGAAGAAACCCGGAAATCCGCGGGAAAACCCGGAAAGAATCACCGACCCACGAGAAGAGACTGACCATTCAATTTTTGAGGAGGGGAAGGTCTTTCATAACCACTATAATTTCTATCTTTTACCTAAAGATGTTTATTTATTCAACTAATATAATGGACCTAATTTTTTGTTTTATTCTATAAATCAATGCAAGAATATTAATTTCATTAAATTGTTGGTCCCTGATATCTACCTTTCCAAAGTAATATAGCGCGCAATATTAAACACAATACTTCTGGGTATGGACTGAAACCGTTATTATCCAACATATTATCTTTTTCCCCGCCCCGCCCCGCCCCGCCCCGCCCATAAAATTCTGCCTTTAATAAATCTGATTCTAGCTAGGGTAGTATAAAAATAGCATGCAAAACACATGGTCACGGACCAAATGGAAATATTTAATCTTGGCAATACAATTTTGAAATTACGTCACATCTTTGGATGTGGCAATAATAGAGATGCATACATAATGATTTTAGAATGAATATTTCTCGAGAAATACACTTAAAACTTAAAATTTAACCAGTATTCAAGGCGTTTAATATAGGGCACAGTGATCAATTTATGAAGATGAGTTCAGTACTAGTACAGTACCCATCCCCCGCTAAGACAAAATACAATGCTGTTTCTGTGATAAGCGTCAAGCACGAGTATTCGGGATAAAAGAGCAGCAATTTTTACCAACATATACACTTCTTAGTTCACGATGTGTAAACTATAAATTTCTTTTAAATAATAGTTTATTATTGTATTGGGTACTGCAAATGGAATGATTAGCCGCGTTCTGATTATTGCCTCTTCGTATAGTGAATGCTTATGAAAATACATTTCGCTAAGTCGAAAACGGTATAATTTCTGTAAAAACTGCAGCATTCCATTAAACTATTGAGTGGAGAGGAATTCTAAGTGTTGCTGTCGGGAATCGAGCCCCGTTAACCTGTCTCACATAACACTGGACTAATTAGGTTTGTTAGTAAGTGGCCTCATATACCCAGTCTGTTACGTTACAATATTTATTGTTAGACGGATTTTTTAAAATAATTATTAACTGACTAAACGCGTGAGATGACCTATTAATGGCATGCTATTTAAACATTGTACAATATTTGTTAAGTAATAAATACATTGTAGATATTTAAACATTTATGAAGCTAAAGTTCAAAAACAACAAAAAGCGCACGTCTTAAATGCACATTCAATCCTGAGGCTCTAAACGCCAAAATATATATTGAAGTCAGTATAGTATTAAAAAATAAAAAAGCAAAACCCCACCCCACCCAATAAAACATCGTATTGCCTAAAAAAAAAACACAAAAAAACAAACGACAAACACCAAAACGTGGAGGAAACACACACACACACACACACACACACACACACAAACACGCGCGCGACTCTCTCAACAAAGACAAAGAATTGGCAATTTACATCTAAAAAGAACTTTATGGTCACGAGCAAGAAGCAAGAATGTAAAATATCGAGTCCCGTTTCTTCTACCCAAACCTAGGAAGAAAGATTGCAACTGTACATATTATCCGCTCGACTTAAGCGGAAGCCGACTGAGTGGATAGTTCTTAAACAATAGCTTGCCCCTACCAAACGCGAATCCAAAAATCTCAACAAATGCTGGCCAATTTTTAAAGATACTCAGTTATAAGCAGCAGTACATTTTATAGGGCACATTTGATGAACTAGGACATTATATTTTTAATCAACTGGTAAAATGAACATATGATTTAAAAAAAAAGAAATTAAAACTTGTAAAACGGCACTATAAAAATGAAAAATACTAGTGCGATTCCAATTCAAGTCCATCAGTCATTGGCTATTAACTGAGAACGATTGATATGATGGATTTTTGGTAGAAATCCAGTTTCGTGCCATTCACTGTTGACGACTTGAATCTTTCACATTAAGTTGGCGATTATTTATTAACTGAACCCAAGTAATATATGTTAAATGAAAAGACCTAAAGTTTTGTCGAATTCCAACACTATAAACCATCATGTCAAGTTGAAAGGCCTAGCTTGACGTGTTCAGATCAGTAGTCGAAAACGTTCAGTTATATGACTATACTACAGTTTAATTTGTTTATTTCCACATCATTTCTAAAACACGTGCCTATTTTAAGTGCTTACAGCAAATAACAAAGTCCAAACTTTATCAAAAATGTTTTCGAATCAACCCAACTCAACCCACACACCTACAAAACAGAACATGCACAAATATCATAATACCATGCTGAGCCATTCACACCACTGGTCACTCGTGCTGCCTGTGAATAACTGCAGCCTTACAGCTACATTTCAGTGGTCAACTTGAACATCATAGTGAATATTTTCAACTTTTGCAAACCTTTAGGTGAATATTTGGAAATTAAGAAAAAAAAAAGCCGATTGTTCTTGTGACAGTTAAATGAATATTATACTTATCAGTAATGAATGTAATGATGCTTAAATAAATGCACAAGTTAAAATTAATTACAATTCACACTAGCTGCTGTGATCTTTATTGTTTGTTTATTGGTTTTAGTAGCACTGTTTACATATTACTGGCTTTTATATGGATAAAATGAGAGTTAACCATCTTTCTAAATGTCACACAGGTATCCAATCCGTGCTTGGCCTGGGCGGATATCAAATCCACGACCCCTGGATTACGAGACGGACATTTTTCCAACTGAGCTACTGCAATTCATTTGAAGTCATAAAGCTAACACACATGTAATAAACAAAGTGGAGGCATAATTACTATGATGCTATCAAAGGGAGCTCAAAGAATTAAGGGAATTGCAAAGGTAGTGCATAAAACAAATACTTGTTAATTTTGACATGAGAGCTGACACTATCCACCCTTTTTCAGACCAAAATCAAAACATTGCTTGGCTTGTTCAGATCAGCAGAATGAATGAATCAATGGCATCAAAGGCCAAGTTCAGTGTGAAACTGCGTAAAACATCATATCTGAACGTTAAATTATCTTAAGCACGTGGAATTTTTGGAAGGAAATATAGCCTGATCTTTACACATCTTCAAAACAGGATATTTCTTTCCCCAGCATGAAACCCTTCAAACGCGATAACACGATAAAAGCGTCGAAATTTCCGATGACAAAGAGCCTACAATGTTGCTCAACATATAGATCTGTACGTTCATTAGCCAATCAAAATGACAAACACAATTCAAAATTGGATTTCAAATTGTACATTCGTTGAAATTTTCTCACTCTATTCAATTTTCTCCGAGATGATTCGATAGAAAAGTCTTGAAAATTAGGACTGAAAAAAATAATGCATAACGTAGATGGGAGAAAGCATAGAAAAACTATATTATCCAATAATCATTTTGGGGGTTTGTTTTACATTCAGAGTCAAATTTCTCTTCTAAAATCCCAGTTAGAGTTTGTTCAGATCAGCAGTAAGCAAACTGAAATTACTTGTATCATACTTTTTTCAAATAGAGTGTTTTTCAACAT